GTTACGGCATGACTCTGATAGTAGTTTTTATACACACTTAGTCTGGACTAAATCTTGTACATAAAATAAGATCTTATGAAGTGCTCATCATACACTAGTCGGACGCCATCGTTAGTTCGTTTGTGTGAGACTTTCATATCATTCTGGTTTAAAGTATTGGTTTTTTGTTAGGTTTTCAATGCAAAGAAATATATGTTTCATACATTCTTTAGAACCCGGTTTACATATGCTTTACATTGAACTATAGATTTATTTAGGGGTAAACCATGAAACGAAAGTGTAAAAATCTTAATAACAATTTATTATTTGAGCTCTTCGGTTATGTTTTCATATATTTACATTACTTCAAAACTGTGTGTTTATTCGATATGAGCTTTTCGCAAAGTTTTATTTTTCAACATACTTCATACTCATTCATCTAAATATAGGGCCTGTTTTAATATATAATAGCCCAAGATTGAAATAAATAGCTTCAATATTTCATTTTAGCGCTTATTGTCCGACTCCTCTGTGATATAATCTGTAGTGCTGCAGACGAAGTCTAGATATTGCTTACATCGTGTTTGTTCTGTCAGCTTAACGGTATGTCAAAAGTCAGATACAAGTTGTGTTTAGGATAGGTATATTTTTGACAGGCTAATATTGAACGCCAGACAAGGAAACAAAAGATGTGGCGATCCTATACAGTATCTGAATTTGGTAATACACTGACTAAAAGACTAATAAGGTGACTCAGTTCTTATAAGATACGTAAGAAATACAGGACGTAGATAGGCATACCATCATACAAACGTATAAAGCATGTTAATGGTGAATGACAGGGCCAAATATGTGGACAAAATAAATGGAAAGATTGTGATAATTCATTTATCCGAAGGTAAAAGTAAATCACCATGTGAAAAAGTGTCAATTACTAAATTTGCATGATATTAAACGAGACAAGGATTTTGGCATCAAGCAACCTTTACCTTATTGTAGAAAATGCTTCTGTTCTGAACGAATCGCCTAAAATTGACCATTATTTGAAGTTAAAGTTCAATAGAGTTCAAATTTTTGGATCAGTCAGCCGGAAAGTACAATCTTGCATAAATGGGCATTGACTCAAGTTGTTAAACCATACTAGTACAATGAGATGAAATTGTGAAGACAAGTCCCTGATTAGTAGAACCAATAACAGCTTCAGTGGCAGGAGGAAAGATTAGAAACAGGAAATGTAATACAAGAGGAAATAATTTATTCTCGAAAGTAAAAGAAGTATTATAAAGTGATTTTGAACATTTGGATCTAAGGGTTGATATAGAATGAATGCAACTTGAATGATGTTATGATTGTATGCAGAACTTACATCATATACATTCTATTTGAGCACAGAAATGTTGTTTATATTATTCCCTTTTTTCTAGGTTACTGCTTTACGTTAGTGATACGTTCTCGAATGCGCATTTACTTTGGTTCCTGGCTACGTTTAGCTACAGATTATAAATCTGCACGTATTTTGCGTGACCATAATCTTCTCAAATCATCTTTACTCTCCTGGAAATACGGTATCCTTTTTAGCATGTAAAGTAATTGCCATCGAAATAGTAATTCGTCCTCCTAAATATGATTTTCAGAAAATTGATATCGAGGTACAAATTTGTTCCATTTACTAAAATTTAAACAATTAAGCTGTTTGCATAAGCTTCATTTATTACAAAACCTATCCTGACCAATTACAGTATGTTGTGTGGCGATTGAAACGTACATTACTTTTTAATGGATTGTTTGATTGATGAAGTACTTTATATTTAACTCATACGTGATGTCATCTTGGAGTTTATATTCTATTCACACTTTTAAAGTCAATGGAACCACCTGCGATAACTTTTAGTCCGTGATACATTTTTACCTGAAGGGTGTATTTTGTCATGACGCTGACGTCAATGGTTCATATGAGCTAAGCTGTCTTAACAGAATTAACTTGGTAAATCATTTAGAATTCGACTTTCGAATCTCGCTAAAATTTGCAAACAAAAAGGCTACAGATCATCATAACATGAATATAAAGGTAATTGTGTAAGTTTATTTTTGTCTTCCGAATAAGACGTGCGGACGTTTACTCAATATTGACGTTTTATCTTTCAGTCACGCTCACTTTTTATTTGGGTATCTTACGTACAAAAAAGACGGAGAAGAAACAAGTCAAAAAGTATGGCAAATGCTAATTATCGTCTTCAGGTGAGTAAGCAACCTTATTTTCGGTACTGTGAAAAAACTAGCAAAAAGTTAAGCTTGTCGAATCGTATGGGTATTACTTAGCGTCCAAGCATCAATTATCGGAATAGATATAATAATATCGTGGGTTTTATTCCAGTCATTTGCATAACTGAGTAGTTGGATCTACATTCATGACGATGACCATTACTTTTTTGGAGACAGTTACAAACGCACTTTGTCATATTGATTGTATAACATTTGTCTTCTAGGACATGAATTTATGTTCTGTCTAGTTCTTAGAATAATCAGTTTGCTTTTTGACTGAATGTCTTTTCATACGATTACTAAATAATTTATAATTCCATTTTTAATAAATCAAGGCATTGCAAAGCCACATGACATGTTGGAAAATGAAATATTTTCTAACTGGGAAATCTGCTGTTGAAAAATCCCTTTTTGCTGCAGCAAGAGCTCACGATCGTCGGCATATTTTGCGTAAAGCTTTATTTGTTTGGATGTTAAAACATCAGTTTTGGAAACAAAAAAAAATATTACGTAGAACCGCACTAAAGTTTCTTCACAATAAATTGAACAAAGCTATCATGGTGTCAGTAATTCAAGAATGGTATCACCAAATTTTAGATATCCAAATTTCAAATAAACATAATAGGTAAGCTCAGTTACAAAGTATTTTATCAGTGTTATTTATATGGAAATGTGTTGCTCTATGGTACATTTCAATCTCTACAATATCAAACTTATTCATAACAATAATTCATCGTGACAGTACTTCTCGCGTGTTTATTTCCTTGTTAGTTGAGTTTAAAATTTAGCTTTTTATTGTTCATTTTTATGGCTCAGATGAAATAAGGGAATATCTGCAAAAGTTTAAGTGATTTAATAATACCAATTTGTGCACAGATTAGTCATCAAATGCTGGTCAGTAATATTTTCAAATCATAACTACTATTTATGGTTTATCTACCATGAGTTAATCTAGTCGCCTGTCTACTGTTTTAATAAATACTTTAAGAAGTAGTCAAAGCTTCAGAAATCTTCACTCTTTTTAACATCGATTTACTTCTTAATTATACTGTAAATGCTCTGATAGTATATTTATTAAAAGGTGTTATATAACTCATAAAAGTATTCTAAACCCAATATCATTAAGGACGAATAAAGTATGTACTGCTAAACATACGAAGTGTAGAAAATCTTTATTGTTTAACTTCAAGTGTACATCCACGATCCCACACTCGGGACTCGAATCCAAGACCCTCTGTTTCGTGCAAACACTTAACCTCTGGACCACTGGGCCGCGATCCATTGGTGTTGATGTTTAACTTCAACCAACCGCGTCGGATGTGATTCAGTTGACCACTGAAGACAGTGGAGAATGGTCGCGCAGTATGGTGGATTAGTTGAAGTTGGAAGTTAAAACTGACGTGTCTCGGCTCCACAACCCTTTACTGATATTTCATTCTTTGAACAGACAGAGTGGAGCATAAACATATATATTCCTTTGAATGAAATCAAGAAAACAATATGGACTATTCCATAATGCCCCCTCAATGCTATGGTACAACCGAGGGTGAGGAGAGTCCGTTCTCCCCCTTAAAATGCTCTCACATGGCCACGCGTACACAGCCACTGACGGAGAAGTCCTACTCACTGCCTTCTTGCGTTGGGGGTGTTGTTTAGAAAATCGAGAAAACGAAAAGCGAATATCCGGTGCTTTAACCGAGTTGATGGACACAGAGGGTCCATCTAGGCGTTAAAGAACCCTTATCCTGAACCGATGGTGCACATGGGCCTCAGGATCCTGAGAAAACAAATGGAGTATGAACCAATTATCAATTGCCGTCTACCATGGGACTGCATCTCCTAACGTTGCTCCGCTGCCTTGTGGATTAGACCTCTAGGTCAGAGGCTACGGATGTGGCCCCCTGATCAATTGCAGTCCTAAACAACAATAGGAAAATACAAGCAAACAACACCATGTGAATTTAAACTTCACCCCGTTGCACAAGAAGGTGGCTATCAGGAATCCGTAACTAAGTGGATAATGCGATGGCGTTTGACGCTCACTGTACTGGGTTCGAGTCTCGGAGTGAATATCAACTCTAGAATGCTGGTATATCAAGCTGACGAGTTCCAAATAAGATGAAATGAGCGTCCTGGATTCCACTGCTAGCCACTATCCGTCTTTGCTCATGATTGTAATTGGCTAAAAAATAAAGGTAAAACTAGGTAATTAGTTTAATCCATATTCGATGCCTTTCCTGATCTTATTTTTAAGTGTGCTGAAATATAGGTAGAATCAACTAAATTTACTTATACATCAGATAAATACAATGAACACCGGTAATTTTTATTTTCAATAAGTTATAAACATTCAATAAATAGGAAATCAGTCAACATGATGTACTCATTTGATGATATCAGATTTATATTCCAATTACACATGGCACTAATTGTTAATCTGAAGGATTGTATTTCGACTTTGTACATGATAAAAAAATTCAGACTTCTGAAAAGTATAGAGCTTAAACTAAAAATCTATTTGATGTTTCCTGGTTTTTGATGTATCTTCAGTTGATGAAGTCTGTTATAATCTTGTCTTGAACATTATTTTCAATGTGTGTTGCGGACGGTATATCCCCAAAACTCATATTTGTAATTTTATCACTATCGATTAACTTATCGATTAAATGATTAAATAGCAGTCAATTGATGAACTCATTGATCAATGTTTAAAATTTCCCATGACAATATCGATTATATATATTTGTATATATACGTTTTAAATTGTGTTTGTGGGCTCGCTCGTTTTCTGGCTGTTTGCAGAATATATTTTCCATACCAAGCTTGGACTTCTCTTTCTAGGTAGCGGGGCTGGAACGCATCAATAGCTAGATTACTGGTCTTTGGTCACTGAGTCTTGTTCTCGTTCGCAGATTAAGTGAACTCGTGAAGCTTCAAACATAACAATGTGGGAAATTATATAGTATATCCTTTGATTTAGATTTTTCCACTATGTCGAGTTGAATGTTCGAGTTATTACGAAACAAATAACTATAAATCGTAATCATCTGATCTTGATTCTCCTTTCTTGTAGGTATAGAATTTTGAAGACGTTCCTAAAAATGTGGTCATATCGAAGCAAAGTATCAATTATAGAACGTCAAATGTATTTTTCTGCTTGTAATTTACATTCTATTTTAGTACGTCGTCGGTGCTTTCTCTTATGGAGAAATTATGCATTATATAAGAGAAAAAAACACAAACAAATAAAATTTGTTATTCGATTTTATAAAATAAATCAAATAAAAAAGTACTTTGTTGCTTGGATGAATTATCATTTTGTGGCTGTTGATCATCGCAGTAGTGTTCAATCCATGAGTGTAAGTTTTACGAACTATGGAAAATTAGCTGTTCTTTGAGCCTTATTATTGACAGGTTACTGTATTGTAGCCTTGCTAATAGTTTGCTAACTAAACTTCGGTTGTCATATTACTTCAAGCTATCAGATCTCTGATATCACTGCTTAGTGATCAATCACCATAAATATATCAGTCATACGCGTCATAGCGGGACCAATATTAAAAAAACTGAAAATTTGAGCTTTTAGTTAACTGCATCCAAACACCTAACATCTTGAGCATTATATTAAAACTTGCTAATATCTGGTGATGTGATCATAAGCCAATTCCAGGTGATTCGTATTCTACAGAAATGAATCCTTGGAGATTTAACTTTCAGTTTGAGTTATGCTCAAAGATTTTATACAAAACTAGTAGCATTCTGTTAGAATTGTTTGATTATTACTATTTCTATTAGTTATTTAGTAAATTATACTTTAATTGTAAGAAGAACATTAATACTAAAAATAATAACCTCTTCATTTCAAGATGAAACATAATACATCATTAATCAAACAGTGTTTACTGAAATGGAAAGATTATTGTACTACCAAGCAATTATTATTGTTGAAATTATCTCATTTTAAAAAGTGTCAGAAAAATAAACTACTCAAGGAATATTTTCAATATTGGTTGAGTAATCTTCTCTCTAAACAGTCACAAGAAATAACAATCCGGAGTTTTAGAAAACATAAATTTATGGAAAGCATAAAAAGGGTAAGTCAGTGTTTAAAGTAAACTTCAATGCTTTTCTATCTTCAAAAGAAATTAATGGAGTTATAAAGATCTCATATTTATATGATAACGCAATGAACATTGAAAATCGAAGGAATATGTATGTAAATGGTTTAGCTTGCGCAAATATGGTATGATACTAAATGGAAATAGCCGCAAACCACTCAATGTGTACATTAACTGTCAGCTTTCACTTAACACTTTATACTTAATAACCAATCGTAAATTTCATTTTACGATGCAATATATTTACTCCATTATAAAGAACTCTTTTTCATGGTTTTACTTTGTATTCCATGTCAGATTCACATTTTGTGTGGAAACACCATTGCAAATGTCTCCAGTTCACGAAATGTGTACTTAAAATAGACATGTTCATGTTATTTAAAGCTTATAGTACATCTTGACGTAAAACCCTGAGCTATTATTTTCAAATCTTCATCTTGATATTTAAAATTGAACTGGATATTCACTTGGTATTGTTTTACTTGAATCTTCCCATTGATGTTTTAGGACTGAAATTAATCAGTCTTTTATTGGCATATGTGCATACTGTGCGTATGCCTTCGAGTCCCAGAGTGAACATCAACTTTGAGATGCGGGTACATCCAGCTGAGGAGTCCCAAACAAGACGAAACGCGCGTCCTGGATTTCACTGCTAGCCACTATCCATCTTTGCTTATAAACTGGATATTGTTTAAATTTGTAATCACTCATCATAAAATTTATGCCTAATAGTCATATAAACACTGAAATATTCATTACTTTATTATTATGCAAATACACTTGACATTCTTTAATTTCGGGTCAGTCAAATTTGCTAATAGCTTTCATTTAGAAATACTAGCAGTCGTTTGACTTGTAAAGTTTTCCTATCCTTGTGAATTGTTCAACCAACGGCAATTTTGAAATTATATCGAAATTACTAAAATTTTCGGTGTTTTTGTTCACGTAAAAATCTTTTTTTCCCTTTACCTAACATTCTTAAATTTATATAATTATCAAAGTTTCTTCAGTTGTATTTTCAAGCAATCTTTACTAATAGCTCGTAAGAACTATACGATTGTTTTTCATTTATTAATAATAAGTTAGCCATTTTTACTTACTTTCAGCTAGAAGATATTTGTTGAATGATGAGGATGGCCTAAGTGAATATGTTCACCTTGATGATGTCCTATTACAATAGGTGTTCTGTAATTACTTGATAGTTGGGAAATATTCAGGTGTCATAAAAAATAATGATTAGTTATCATTTTCTAGAAAATAAATTCAATGAAATACTTTGGATTTATGTACCAAATATGATATAACGGAAACTAATAGGAATTTGTTCTTGCTCTGAGACACTAAATACTTTTTACAACAAGATTTTACAACTTGTAGATTCGAAACACTAGAAATAGATCACTCTACTTGACCACATAAACTCAGATACGCAAGTCTGATCAAATATTAAGAACCAGATTAGATTAAACGGTAGCTCATTAATATAAATCACAATGAATCAACACAGTGAAAATCCGAGTAGAAACTAACAGTTAAGGAATTTACGACATTTTATAGTCCTATATATTTAATGTAACTAGGATGTGTTTATCTTTCTTCATTAGCTAATTATGTCTTTCACCAGCACGTCCCAATTTAAACATAATGTATCTTAGTTCATGTTCGTACTTAACCTATCTTACTCATAGTATGAATAAACAATGAACAGCAAATCCAATGAATTTCTTTATAGTCTTCTTAAACTTTGTTCTGTACACCATCATTCTTATTTGAATGGACCAATGATCGCCAATCCAAGATGGCTAGTATATTCCAGATGTTCATTTATATACATACAGGACTAGACCACGGAGCAGACCAAATGAGTAATACTATTAACTCGGAACAACAACATTAATGGTAAGAAAAATGAAATACTGGGTACACAAATAATCTGTTCTAGTTCATGAGTTGAAAATGCTATATCAACAATTTACGATTCTAATAAATGCTTGAGACTAGGGTAATACGAAAATAATAGAACTAAACTACTTAATTGACATGCAGTCAATATATATAAATAAAATCGTGGAAAAATAGCTTCGAAAGTTTCTACCTCATAGTTAAATTGTCTCTTACAACAATAGTAGCCTTATGAATTATACTTTGAAAATAGGATTGGTTAAAGCTGTTATTAAATTTAATTGCAATCAATGATACTTGGATTTCAGGTACATCCAGAAAACGAGTCCCGAGTGAAATGAAATGTGCCACCGTGTATCTCACATTTCTAGTCACTATCGAAAATATAAACAACACTACCTTACTACCGTAGATTTCTGCATAGAATTTTAGGTTTTTATTGATAAAAGGTTATCATTTAGTAGAATTAAACTTTGAGAAATGTAAATTATACTTTATGTTACTGTTTAACATCGGGCTGTTTATGCAAAAACAATATAGATTCAATTATTTAGGTAAATCAATGTTTGATTTCTATGATACTTTTTGTTTAATAATCGAGTCTTAGAAATTTCGGCTATCAATTTTAAGCTACTACATTGATATGTATGAGTGATTCGACTTAGCTGCCAAAATACCAGCTCAGGAGAATGATTTTTCTAGATGTTAGATGAATCTAACCGTTCTAACACTGTTTCATTGATTGATGTTTGTGTTCGATTATATGCAAAGATACATTTGCCGTATGTTGAATAACCTCATTTTTTCCACAGTTGTTTCTTGCATGGTTACAATGGACGTCTAGTCGTCGAGAATACCTTTTGAAAATGCAGCTTACTTTTAAAATAAGTTTAGAGAATATGCGAATTGTTACTATACGAATTTGGTGGAGACACTGGAGATCTGTGTATAACTATTGTTCAAACGCTAAACTTGCATGCAGACTTTATGATAAGCATATACTTGTTCAGTGTCTCAATTGCTGGTCTGCTTTTATTACTATCAAGAAACATAAAATCAAATTATTTAAAACAGCTAATGACTTTCGAATTCGAACAATTCAGGTAAGTTAAATCACTTTTTAACGAATTGAGGTATCATTAAACAAATAAATATTTGAGCTATCTATTTCTTAAATTTATCATAGAAGATAATTATTGTACGTCAGTGTAATTGATTCAGTCAGCCATAAGCGACATAGAACTTGGTATGTATGTCCATCTATTGAAGTTGCCACATCATATAAGCTTAACGAGACTCAAGAGTAGTAAATTAGTAACAGTATGAGTAGTAGTAGGATAGACTGGGCGTGGAAAGTTATGATTCAAGGAGAAAATATGGCTTTGTGAAATACTACTCAAAAAGATTGATTGCCTTTATCTTTTTGTTGATTTCTTATTTTTGTATATTCTTCGACCTGATCAATAACCTGTTATAAGAACAAGTAGTTAGCGGGATAAAGGTTGCTTAGGTACTTGGTCTCTATTATATATGGAGGTTTGGTAGCTCAAATGTCATTTGCTTTACAAACTGACATCATTTGGAGAAACGTTTAAATAAAATGGATAACCACACTTTAAGACGAAACAGTTGTTCAATGTTCCCTGGTATAAACTCGGGAACCTCTTCAGAAGTTTAAATATTTGTATGGTATACTATTACTACTACTAGAAAGGAAGGACAAAGTGGATTGGAGAATGCTGGTCAGCGGCCTGTGTTGCATTGGAAGTAACAGGCGTAAGTAAGTAAGTATACTACTGAAAGCTAATAACTTTGAATTACTTCTAACTTTTCATCTCTTATTATCATTGTTTGATGCATCAAAACCACCTTTGTTATTTTCAGAAGCACTTCTTAAGCCAATGGCATTTGAAACTAATTGAAAATAGTAAATTTCAAGCTTTGAAATCCATAGCTCTTGTGCGATGGTCTTTATGCTTACAAGCAAAAGTATGGAAGGCTTGGCATTTATGGATTGGAAAACAAAAGTATAAAAGAAATAGACGAAAAACCGCTACCCAACGGTTTTATGAGCACAAAACTGTCGACGCTCTAAGACTATGGATTACTGTGGCTTTGAATAAACGTCATGAAAGGCATATGAAGTACTGTTCAAAATTTTGGGTATGTTTTTAAAAGTTTCGCTTATTTAATTTTGTTGTAACGGGTGTGTGACTGCAGGTTTTTGATAAGCAGCGTATTTATCGATCGCTTCTGTGACAGTGACACGTGAACACGTAGTGGACGACCTAGTGCCCTGATTGGCCCTGCTTCGCTGTCTGTCCCAGCCAATTGAGTCAAGAACACAAATCACTGCCTCTGAGTTATGAATCATTATATTTCAAACATACTTTGTTTATATACCAATCAAGCATACCACATCGTACCATAAAATAGGAAACAACATTTACAAAATATTTAACAAGTGAAGTAAACATCGACCAATAGGAAATGTACATTTAAGGTCCAAGGCCACCACAGACTTAACACAATAATTATTGGTATATTCCTCCGACTATCCTAACAAATTTTTATTCTAATTTACATCATTGGAATGTATTCACGTTGGACTGAGCTCAATCTTTTCAATGGAATTGTAATTACTACGATTACTAAATAATTCTCAATGGTATAATACTTCCTAACTTGGTTTTTCGTGGGTGCTTCCCCTTCATATTAGCACTCGGTCCTAAACTAGACGCTTCGAAATTTCCGAAAGTATACATATGGTTAGTGTAGTGAGTAGTTAGTTACTTATTTCCGAATGAAAAATCACGATCTTTTGGATAACAGAAAGAGAAGTTTAAGATCTGCATGAAACGTGGCGTGTTCATTTCGTATTAGCCTAATGGTTAGATACCGCATTATTTCATCTCATTCTAACCTCATTTTATTGTTGTTTACACAGTTGTATGGATAAATACGCTTCAATTTACCTTTTTTCTTTCATCTCTTTGTTCTCACTAACCGTTTAAACCAACAATCGACACTCTTAATTTATGTCTTTGATATTGTAATTATTTCTTCTTGTGGTCTTTCATAAATAGATCGTGTAGATTTACATGTATTGTCAATTATTTGCATTTATCCATCTTTCTGAACTCCTTACTTACGCCTGTTACTCCTCGTGCAGGAGCATTGGCCGCTTATCAGCATTCTTCAACGAACTCCTTCCTGAACAATCTTTTTCAGTTACTACTCATACTTTAACTGTCTGCTTTCGAATCCTGACTCAGTGTGTCCTTGGTCTTCCTCTTTTTCGTTTCCCTTCAGCATTTCAATTTAACGCTTATCTCGTGATGCAGTTTGATGATTTCTGCAATGAATTTTCTATCTACTTCCAGCGTCTTCTCTGAATTTCCTCTTCAGCTAAAAATGGTTTGTTCTCTCACAGTAGGATGTTGCTGATAGGATCCTGTCAAGGGACATTGACTATCTTGCGTAAACAACTGTTGATAAATACTTGTACCTTTTTGATGATGGTTGTGGTGGTTCTCCAAGTTTCACCTCGATACATTAGAACTGTCTTGACGTTCGCATTGACGATCCTGAATTTGATATTTGCTTGCAGGTAGTTGTTCTGAGTTCCATATGTTCTTCAACTGTATGAATTAGGCCCTTGCTTTTCCGATCCCAGCTTTACATTTGCATCAGATCCTCCTTGTTCATTGGTGGTGCTGTCCAGGTACGTGGAACGTTCCTCCTCTTTCAGAGTTTCTCCATCAAGCATGACTGGGTTGGTGTTCTTCGTGTTGTATTTGAGGATGTTGCTTTAGCCCTTGTGTATGTTGAGGCCTCCTGCTTCAGAGACTTCTTCTACACTGGTTATCTTGACCTGTATTTGTTGGTGTATATGGGATAGAAGAGCTAGGTCACCTGTGAAGTCCAAATCGTCTAGCTGCATCCAACTTGTCCATTATATTCCGTGATTCCCGTCAGATGTAGGGGCCTTCATAATCCAGTCAACCACCAGGAGAAAGAGAAAGGAAGAGAGTAGGCAGCCTTGTCTTTCTCTGGCCCTCACTTGGAATGCGCCTATCAGCTGCCTTCTATGCACCACTTTGCAGTGTAGTCAGTCGTATGATTCCGTATGATGTTGACGAATTTCTGAGCTACTCCATAGTGTCGAAGAAGTTTCCATAATGTTCTCTTCTCCACACTGTCAAATGCTTTCTCATAATCAAGGAAGTTGATGTATAGTGACGATTTCCATTCAATTGATTGTTCAACGGTGATCCGTAGTGTCGTGATTTGGTCTGTTCACTACTAGTCTGTTGATCTCGAAGCTGGGATTTTGTTGAAACCTTTATCCGGTTCAGCAACACTTTGTTGAGAACTTTTCGTAGCACTAACGATAGTGTGATGCCCCTGTAGTTCTCACACTTGCTGACATCCTTCTTTGGTATCTGTTCGAGGTCTTTTATCTGGAGATCTGTATATGCTGCCTCGATGTCCGATGGGTTCAGTGAGTCTGGTCTATTCAAGAGTTCTTCAAAGTGTTCTACCCACCTGTTATTCTGTTCTTAAATCTCATTGATTGGTTCGCCTTCTTTGTCCTTGACTGGTCTCTGCTTTACTATATTTCTCTGCTAGTTTCTTCGTTGTATCATAGTTGTTTCATATTTCCTTCTTTTGCATTTTTTTCCGACGCTGTTGCTAGTTCTTCCACGTATTTCTACTTGTCGACTTTAATGCTCCTCTCCACTTGCTTCTTTGATCCCTTTTCAGTTGTCCTCTATCATAATTTCTTCTTCTTTGAGTAGAACTTGTAAAGCTTGGAACCTGTTGTTGAGAGTTATCTTGAATCGGTTGAGTTTGTCAGTGCGTCAAAGGAAGACTGTAGTGAACCTTTGTAAGGCTGTTTGTTCAGTCATCCAATGCTTCTTTATCTTCAGTTTCATCTTGACAACCACCAGGTAGATGGTAATCTGAAGCTATATTGGTTGCTCTCCTGATTCTCACGTCTGCCATTGATCTTGTCAACTTTTTACTGATGCGAATATGATCGATTTGGTTCTCTTCGCTGTGATTCTATGAGATCCATGTAGCTTTATATGGGGATATCATGCTGTCCATAGACAAATTGGTGAATGTACATAGATTTGCAAATCTGTCACCGTTCTCGTTTCTTTCTCCCAGTCAGTCGCTGTCATTCCATGATATCTTCATATCCGTTGTTGTTCGTTCAGACTTTGGTGTTTAGATCTCCCATCAGGATGGTGAGGTCCTTTCTTAGGCACTTCTCTATGATCGCTGCAACCTCTCATATAACTGATCTTTATTGTTGTCGTTCCTATCATTGGTGGGTGCATAACATTGGATAACATCCGTTGTGATTTCCTCCTTTGTTTTGAATGATGCCTTGATGATGCTGGATCCATTAGTTCCCCATCCTATAAGTGCTTTTCATGCTTCTTTAAACAGTATCAGAGCAACTCGCTGAGTGTGCGGAGCATTTTCTTTTTCGTGACCGGAGTACAGCAGCATTTGTCTTGTATCTATCCTTTTTGTCCAACATCGTTCCAATGGGTTTCGCTTTTTCCGAGTACTGCCGAATTGTACCTCCTCATTTTCGTAGCTATTTGGTTGGTGTTCCCGGTCTCCCAAATCGTCCCAACATTCATTGTACCTATGTCAATTATTACTGTGATTGTTAGAAGTGGCATCGACCTCGTAACTTCCGAAGAATATTGGCTTTCACCAGAAATCTTCATTATTCTTCCGAAAGAAGATCCTTCAAATTGTAGGGTGGAGTTTAGATGGTTTTATTTATTTTATTCTGGTTAGCGCTTATTTAGCTATGTTGTGTTCTACAGCATGAGGTTGCCAACCCTATGCCTAACCCTCCTCCTTTATGTTTGGAGTAACCCTAGTAGGGCTACATCCGGTGTTGAACTCCTTCGTACCATATTAAAAGTTCACTCAAAAAACCAGATACGGTTAGATCAAATAATATTATTTGATTATTAGAATATTTTATCTAACTGGTTTTACATATCATTTGTAATTTTTTTTATTTCAGAACAATGACATTCGTGTTTTTAAATTAGTACTTAATACAGCAACACGTTGGTACTGGTGGACGTTTTCTAGAGGAATTAGTCAAAATTCAAGTGAACTTAATATGAATAGTATTTGGGCTGATATTTCTGAATTGACTAATGAAAATCGCATATCCAGACTTTCAGAATGTGGCAATAATTTCAGAACAATACGAAATCAAGAACTAACACCTGCACGTTATCCCGACTTCATTCTCCCTGAACTACATTCACTTGGGCTTACCAATGCTGTAAGTTGAAACGTTCTGTACACTACCAGTTTAATGCATCTTCTAAATGTTAACTATTATGATGTTTTAGATAGAATTCGAACAAACATCAGCTCATGTACCTCCATTAAATGAAACTTTTCACCATGAGACGTCCAATTGTCCAGATATTCATTCCTGTGGTTATCCATGTAAGTAATAGAATACACGTTAGTTTACTATTTCCGTATTTTATCGTTTAACAATCACTGTGTATACACGAAGGTTTGTTGAATGTAAATAATCGCTTTGGCGAATTGATCTTTTGAGACTTCCTCAAACAGTAATTAAAAGTATCCGTTTGATATTTCTCTTTGTTGACTACTAACTTACGACGTTAAGCTTAAAAGGAATCAACAACAGCACTGAACGGTTCTCTTGTCATTACCAAACATGTTTCCTCGATAATTTATTGCAGCAAAGTTTACCTCCAGAACATTTGCTCCATTCCAAGTCAAATGAAGTGTCCCTCAACTAATCATATACGGTTTCCTAAATGCGTGACTGAAATCTCGTCAAAATAATAAAATAAATTGAAAAACAAATTTTAGAACTTAAGAGAATGACTTGATTTACAGATCTATTTTTTATCATACCTTCATTTGTAAAGTATTCTCATCACCCTGACTTTTTTTGCAAGTTGGCTAAAATTCTTCACCGTTTTTTTACGAATGATCTTACTACGCAGTAGTGCCATCAAATACTCTGTGAAAGGAAAGTAGTTCCAGTTTTTTGCATTTTCTAATGTTTATCTAAGGTTTTTCAGCGTCCTCAAGTTTCCAGGTTATTTTTGTTGAGTATTTTTAGTGTACCTAATTTACATATAGCATACTATTACAAACTGTAAATATTTATTGCGAAAAGTTTATTCCCCGTTACTCTTTGATTGAATATCAATAATAATAAAAGTGATAACGCTCTCATATGTCTATTTATTTTAATTCTACAACATATTCATCTGCTAACAGTTACTGACTTATGTGAATTATCTAGTACACTAGTTTATGGATAAAATAGAATTATCATGTATTTTGCTAAACAAATAATTTAAGTGGTTTAAATGTAGCAAAAATAATCATTTGATTAAAGGGAACCACTGATATTTAACATTTACAAGTTAAATATTTTAGTTTCTACTGTAATAATCTTAAGTCATGTAACTTCTCAAATGGGAGTTCTATTTTCATTTATACAAAGTATTGTATAATGATTATTCTAGATGTTACTCTATATTTATTTCTAATCTTTTACTCAATCTTTTAGTTAATTATAAGATATTTTAATCTATGAAATCACAGTTATTTTATTCACTTACCATAATATTTTTATAAATGATATTCATATAACAAATTCATAGATTATGTTTGATCCTAAGTTATATCATTAATTGTAGTCACAATATTAGGATTTCAGCTATTAAATCATCAATCAACAAATTTATATGTATATATCTTTTCTATTTATTCATTATGTATCATTACCAAGGTTTGATTTGATAATTTCGAATAAATTGAGCATTGGGTAGATTGGCATAAATAAATAATATATTTGTAATTTTCTGACGTTTCGTGGCTTAGTGTAAGTCACTTCTTCAGAGAAGTAATCATATGTATTATATTAAGCAAAGCAGTTGTCATTATTAAAGTTTAAATAAGTAAATAATATATTTGTAATATCCCAATGAGTAGAAAAATTAAATTTTCTGACGTTTCGTGACTTAGTGTAAGTCATTTCTTCAGAGAATAAATAGCCAAATTAAACTTGGATTATATATATATATATATATATATATATATATATAAGCAACTAACATTCAAGCTAGAGAAAGGGATTTATGCGTAAGCTGTCACATGTAATCAAGCAAACATGTTCAGACAGACGTGATAATGATAATATTACAAAGACAGAAAAATTGTTACTGTTCTAATGACACTTACCGTTAAATAAGTTAACTGAAGGGCTTGGCAAAGTTGAACGTAAACAGCCTTATATGTAGATGAGCAACTATATTCGCTCCCCCTGCAAACAATGATATAAATAGATGACTGGTCGCAGAAAAATGTTAAACTGGATTGAATAACTAGGATACACAGAAAATAATGAATTACTTAAAATAAAGATAAAGCGACTCTGTAAGCTAGTATTTGTTACGTATATCTGAGTTTCCGTAGTTCACTGAGTCCAGGTAAAATGATCAAATACCAAAAGGATTTGGTGGTGTTTTTATAAGATTATATATATAAGCACAAAGATATATAAAATGTGTGGAATTTCATAATACATAGTTTAAACTTGATGATACGCGTGTAGAAAACAAAGAGGAAGAAGATAATTCATATTCAAAACAGTGAGAGAAATTATTAATTCATAATCGTGGCTGTATACTGTTGTAGCCACTCAACTTTTCGACCATATCTCGTCATTATTGGGATCTTTTCTCTCTTTTTATTTTCGTCGTTAATGATTGAGACACATATTTTAGTGATGTGACGGTTTTCCCGGGACCTGTATTTGTTGATGAGTCGTCAATTTCATGAATGCTGGTTTAGCTCAGTCGATGCTGATTATGTCCGTTTTCTGAGCTTTTTTCTACAGTAACCGTTTTGTCAGTCCTTGAAACCACTTTAAACGGACCATCATAATTCACCTTAAAGGAGGCTGTATATCATCCCTTCTAATGGATACATGAATGATAATATCTAGTTGCTTTGGTATATACTCATCGTTTCTGTGGTCTGAGAAGCTTTATTTTTGAATCGTTCATGTGCTTCTTTAGACAATGTTTGGCTACATCAGTCGGAACACTTTTACCTGAAGCGAAAACTTCTCCGGGTAAACCTAGAGTAGTTCCAACCAACTCTGCTGGACAGTCTTACAAAATGTGTTCAATTGTTTGTTTAGAACTTTATTCCATTATTGCTCACTTGAAGATTTGTCTTTGTTGCTTCTAACTTTCGCATTTTTATCTTAGTTCTCAACACACCAGATGTTCATGAAATTAATTTATATCTAAACTCTTTGTCGGAGCGGGTATCTTACTACAGAATGATAAAGTCTAAATATAAGTAAGTAGTATAATTTTCACAAACATTTCCAGACTGATTTATCAACGCCTTTATTTAGAGGATCAGATGGAGAATAAAGCTAATTACAATAAAGAGGTGAGTTGATTTTAAGTAATACATTAGTTACAGGGATCTGATGATGTATCTTTCAAGTATCACCTGAAGACGGAGAAAGATACATGTAACTTCCTCATCAAAGAACTACGGTCTTTCTTTGTCCAGTTATCTAAGTCCACATAATATAAAATAGTTGTTTATTAGTGGATTTTTAACTTTAATTCAGTATCAATCGCTTTTTTGTACTGCTTCACTGGAATTTGTTGTTAATGACGCTTTCGTGTCTTTCAAGTCTAATAATGATGTAAATCTTGGTTGGTAGTTATTTTCACTTTGGTATGTTAATAAAATATTTGATGATGTGTCTTGATGCTTTTTTGCTGAAGCGCGCACAGACCTTTATGTGCGTAATTATGACAGACTTATTTTGTAACTAGTTTTTGCTACTATCTTCATTCTTTTCACTAACTCTCATAATTTGTTCGTTTACTATGAGTGACTGCAAAATAGTTGTCTAAAAATGCATGACATTATATTTCCATTTTCGTTTTGAATTCTCCAATATCATGACACTGATTACATCCTACAAAAACAGTGTTGCACGTATATGTCTCTTGTTCTCCATTACGTATTGTTATGATAACAGAACTAATGTATTTACTGTCTTCGTTTACAGCCCACAGTGATGTTATAGTATTCTAATTGTCGTATGAATTAGGAATTCCAGGATTAACGCAATTGAATTAAGAAGACACAGGCACCAACGAATGTATTGTATTTAGAATTCGAAATCAAGCATTCAACCAGTACAAAGGTATCATTGGTTCATTCAAACACCACAGATGTTCTCATTTTATCCTTCATGTGGATACACATTTTGAATTATAACAATTGTGATCGGAGTTAATAACTACTTATAATTGTGGATTATTAAACTAAAAGAAAGTGAAACACACCAATTCCTGACAATTTAAGTAACGCCCAGTATATTTTTCTTGTGTATGTAGATTGTATTTAATATTATTATTAATAATGACTTTATTCAATATTTTATCTTGATACACATTATTGAATTCTCAGAACGAGGTATTTCAAAAAGTTTCTTTTACAAAAACAAAAATGACAAGGGAAGAGCAGAAGGTGAAAAACATTTGAATTTGTAGAAGTTTTAGATTAGACACATGTTTAAGAATACAGGTCATTGACTAGGTTAACTCAAACAACCTGTTCATCACATAGTATGTTTGCTAGATAAGGTAATATAGAACCTTTTACGTCAGCTTGCGTGCATGGATTCTAATGCACTGAAGTCTCGTTCTACCAGAAGCTATAAAAGATGAAAGTCATGGATGAAGAGGACGGTCACTATCTGATAATGTAACACCCATCAGGAGTTTGTAAGACTTAAGTTGTCTATCCGCAACCTCAAAAGATTCACCACACACCCTGCTAACTGTCTTCAGCAGTTTTAGAAATATAGAAAAGAATTGACAAACTGTAAGATTAAATGTTGAATAATCCTGAAATCATGCAGCCTCTTTATGTAGTCGGTCAGGCGGAAAACGTACTTCGATAACAGTAAAACATGAAAAGACCAAGAAATCAGAGGAAAGGTAACACCAAGATAAGTAACCCACGACACTGTGTTTATCAAAGAATCTCCAATGGTTCAAGGATTATGGGACACCATCATTGTGTTTAGGTGCTGTTCATGTCTCGGGATAAAGTTAACAGTTTGACATTCAGACGAATTAAGTATGGGACCATTAACAGCAGACCACTATTTGTTACGAGACAAAAACTCATCTATTTCAAGGAGATGTAAAGAGGTAGAAACTGGCATACATACAATGAAATCGTCCGCACATTTAATAAATGTGTTTTCTGTGGAAGATCATTCAGAAAAAAAGAAAACAATAGGCAAAGGAACAGCTCCTTGTGACACTTTCATGAGACAGTAAAGACATTGAACACTTTCTTACGAACAGTGTGCTGTTCTCTTCCAGAGAGGTAGGAACATAGTCAGTTGGTTATCGAGCTGTCAGGGTTGTTACCTAAAAGTTGTCTTGGTATAGAATCGAAAGCAAAAGTATAGTCCAGAAAAGCGCGTCGAATACTCTTCTTACCCTTTTCCAAGCTGAACACTATATTATGATGCAGAGCGATAGCAGCATCTAAGGTGCTTCTTTTACATTTGTAAGCAAACTGATACGGATCAATGTGCTCTTTAATTGCAGGTTGAAGTGTAAGTATCAATAATTTTTCCATTGTTTTGGGGAAAGGTGAAGTTATTGCTATGGGTATAAATTTCACATTTTTATTGTCAGATATCTTCTTACGTATAAGGATTATTTTTACCTTCCTCCACATTTTCGGTATGAGATTGGTTAAAAACAATCTGTTAAAGGTACTCATGAATGAATAACACAGAACATTAGCACATTGTAGCGGCAAATAAATCCCCAAAATGAATAGCTCTAAGTTTTCGACATTGGGTGCTGACCAAATGTTTTAGTGGACTCACCTAGCTGAAGGCGCTCGGTCAGGCATCCGCACCAGATCACGTGTGGTAACGCCGTGCTCAACATCAACCGCAATCGCTAGCCAGATTAGATCAGAGAATTCCGATATATTGGTAATCGCCAAATACACTCTTCCGATCTCCTCGACTCTGTCTTTTGATTTCTCTGGGTGGGAACGAATTATATTAGGTGTTACTGGTAGAAGCGTTGTGAAACACTGAATACCTGTGTCATCATCATTAGTGAGACCAACGTGATCTGGTACACCGAATTGCAACTGTGAGACTGTTCCTTTTTGGGATTTTTATATATCATTGCCTTATTTTTTATTTTTTAAACATTGATTTTTTTCGTGTTTTTTCTTCGATATATATATTTTCCCGTCATTCATTATCGTACTTCATATTTCACCATGACTGAACAGACACCCAAAGTACTCAAGCTTAAGACTTTATCCACACCTTCGTTTCAACTAATGCCTTTCTGGCCCGACAATATCGAAGCCTGGTTCTGCTACGCAAAAGCCGACATCTCCGAGCACGGCGTGATCGACACACGTGCACAATTCCTCGCAGTAGTCAAGGCACTACCGCGCGAATTCAACAGGTACGTAACACCTAGTATGTTTACTAGTGATGTTTCTGAACCTTACGAAACCTTAAAACGTTCGATTCTTAAGCGAGGAGACCCAACTGATCGACAAAGGTTAAATCAACTCTTCAATAACATTGACCTGAAACACGGTTCTGCGACGGACATGTTGCAACGGATGAGAGAGGTTGTAGGTCCAAAAACTTTCGACGAAGGTCTATTCAAACAACTTTTATTGTCTAAACTTCCTCAACAGGTGCAAACTTTGCTTGTCTCGCTTCAGGACAACGCCTTAGACGAACTGGCTGCATCTGCCGGTCGTATTTTAGAAATTACGAAATCTACTACCGAGGTATTTTCTGTAAAAGAAAATCCTCACACGACTCAGAATGATATAACCGAGTTGTGTCATACACTTACGCGTTATCTCAATCTTCGTACCGCCCGTAAGAGACCGCGCACCCCACGTAGAAGCATTTCACGCAAGCGATCTGTCCCTAGACCACGAGAGACGGATAACCCCAACTGGTGCTGGTATCACAACCAGTATGGAAAGTCTTCCAGGAATTGCAGAAAACCTTGCAATTTTCCCAACACGAAACCGACTGACTCGAAAAACAACTCGGGAAACTTCCAAGCCGGCATGCGTTAACGGCAACCGTAGCCGGCGAACATAGCCGACTATCGGCGATTGAATGCCGAAACCATTCCTGATCGTTACCCGTTGCCCCACATTCACGATTTGACAGCTACCTTGAAAGGTACAACTGTTTTTTCGAAAATCGACTTGGTTAAAGCGTATAACCAAATCCCTATGGCTACTGACGACATACCGAAAACAGCTATCATAACTCCCTTCGGACTCTATGAATTTTTGCGAATGATTTTCGGTCTAAGGAACGCTGCTCAAACATTCCAAGGATTCATGGATGACGTTTTCCGAGGTCTCAACTTCTTACACGCGTATGTTGACGACTGCCTAATCGCACGTCCGGACAAAGAAACACGTCTCAAGCATCTGGATCTTGTTTTCGAACGACTACAGAAACATGGCATAACTGTAAACGTTCAGAAATGCCAAATCGGAGTTGACTCATGAGACTTCCTAGGACACACTATAGATGCTCAAGGCATTCGACCCCTTAGGATCAAAGTAACGGCCATTCTGGATTATCCAGAACCGACCTCGATCAAGCAATCACGAATGTTTAACGGCCTTGTAAGTTTCTATAGACGATTCATACCGAAATGCGCGTTACTCATGAAACTTCTTACCGACCAACTTCGTGGAAATGCGAAATCCATTAATTTGGACGACACCGCACGAAAAGCATTCTCCACAGTTAAGGAACTTATCGCTAAAGCAACAATGCTTGCACATCAGGACACTCAAGCACCCATTAGCATCGCAGTAGACGCATCCGACTCGGCAATCGGAGGAGTCTTACAACAATGGGTTAACAACTCCTGGCAACCCTTGGCATTTTTCTCAAGAAGGTTGCTAGACACCGAATCGAGGTACAGCACATTCGGCAGGGAACTCCTAGCTATGTATTGTGCTGAACGGCATTTCCAACATTATATCGAAGGCCGTGAATTCACTCTTTTCACTGACCATAAACCTCTTACTTTCTCGTTAAGCTCCTCTTCAGACAAGTATTCACCTCGTGAGTCTCAACAACTAAACTGCATTTCTCAGTTTACTTCAGACATTCAACACATCTCTGGAGCAAACAATGTAGTTGCAAACGCCTTATCTCGCATAACTTCCTTGAACAGTTTCCAAGGAATCGACCTTCTTAAACTCGCCGAGCTTCAAAAAGAAGACACTGATCTTCAAAACGAGTTATCGTCTACAACCCTTAAACTAGGCATCAAACAGATGAGAACAGGTAAGGAAACCTTACTTTGTGACACATCTACAGGTAGGGATCGCCCAATCGTGCCAAAACATTATCGACGCAATGTCTTCAACACATTGCACAAACTTTCTCATCCAGGTGTTCGTGCAACTATCACGCTTATAGCAGAACGGTTTTGATGGCCTGGCATGGATAAAGTCGTGAGGGAGTGGGCACGCTCCTGTGTAAGCTGCCAAAAATCTAAGATCATCAGACACAATAAATGTCCCTTAGGCTCATTTAAAACTCTGGGTGGGAACGAATTATATTAGGTGTTACTGGTAGAAGCGTTGCCAAACACTGAACACCTGTGTCATCATCAACATTTTTAAGGAGGTTCGGGATTTTTTCACGTTCTGAGTACTGAGATGAATTAAGTGACCGGAGACATTTTCGGACAGTAGTTTCAGTGAAAGTAGGGACATAACTATTCTTCAGACCTGTGGATAAAGAGAGCATCACATCATATAACTAACGTGTAAAAGACTTATTTAAGTCACAAACATTCAGGTGGTTATTACTTATAATGTGCCTGTCACCCGTAAGTTCTTTAAAGAGTTTCCACATACTTGATAATTTTTTATAAGATAGGAGTTTCTGAATAAACATGGAGCTCAGAATTCTAATCTCCACGTTTATTAGACCATTTAGCTCACGAACAGAGTTTTGCTTCTGCATTCTTTCTTATACCCCTCGCAGTCGTTTTAGTTGTGAAGATCTAAGTCGATTAAAATTTTCAGTGGGACAATATTAAAATAGAATTTAAGATAACAAGTGATATCACTAGTAGTGTTTTCCAGTAAGTCATCCGTAAACAATTCTCAGTTAGTCGTACGAAACATTTTTTTTCAGATTTTTAATATTTTCATCTGAGTAATTCCTATATTTGACTTAATTGGTCTGATTTAAGAGTGTACCTTTTCCATGCTTTCTGTATACTTTAGGTGAAACACGAATTCCACAATGTTCCGAGCTAGACAGTGGAGCACGTGGCAAGGTCATAACCTATGAATGACTTTTGAACGGACT